CTCAAGGTTAGAATTTAAAATTTGGAAACTTTTGTAGTACTTTTCTGCTTTGTGACCAGCCCACTGGACTAAAACTTGGACCCTAGCAGCATTCCCCTTCTTATACATTATCTGGTGCAGCACTACAAAATGAGCTTCTTACGACATTCCATCATCATTGATCTTTGTTGTAGGAACCACTTAAGATCCCAAGTGTTTCTTCAAACATCTAATATGGAAGATATGATGGATTTTTGTACTCTCTGGCAGTTTTAATTTGTAAGCTACCTTGCCAACCCTCTGCAATACTTCAAATGGTCGATAAAACTTGGGATGTAACTTTTGATAGCCATGTGAATTTAAATACTGCAGTTGATAATGAATTAACCCCAAATACACGAAATCTCCACAGAAAGCTCTTTCAGACTCGTGCTTATCTACCTGAATCTTCACCCTGTTTTAAGCGATCAACAAATTAGATTTCAAAACTGATAGCATTTTACCCTTCCCTATTAAGCTTTGTTCGACCATGTCTATTTTGGCAGTGCCCGATTCATAAGTAGCAATGTGGGGAGGTAGATATCCATAGACAAGTTGAAATGGAGTGAACTTAGATGAAGTGTGATAGAAGGTATTGTTACTCCACTCAACCCATGCCAACCACGCCACCCATTTCCTGGGTTGGGATCCAGGAAAGCATCTTAAATAGTCTTTAAGCATCTATTCATCACTTCAATTTGTCCATTAGTTTGTGGATGGTATCCAAAACTCATGCTCAGTGTGGAACTTTGGCATTTTATCCCTAAATCCAAACTTGAATATGCAAAATGTAATTTATCCACAAAAATAATAGCAAACGCGCAAGTGGCTTGTAGTTTAGTTAATTAAGCATTTGCATCTATGCAGTATTCGAATTCTCTTCTCTTCTCTGTAGTTTAGATAAATTTATTGTAAATTATGTTTGTGAAAAAAAAAAGGGAAATACCCAGAAATAGGACAGTTTCTTAATTTTGGGATAGAAATATGATATTTTGAATGACATACCCCAACCTGGGATGTCCACTTGGACTCCGAATTGAGCTGTGTTGGCTGACACCATGAAGGTGACGAAGCCATAAAGTGTAGTGATGTGGAAAATGTGAATAAATTTAAACCTAAAAGTGCTTAAATATAAAAGTGCGCTTGTGAGTGGGAATGAACCCATTTCACACGTGATGTCAGAGCATAAGTTAAGTGCAGTAAGGTAGGATGAGAATCATACCATCGAAGGTAACCACTTATACCAAGATTTGCCAAGAATCCTCGTCGAAACGAAAGCTCAACTACTAAAGCCTGGAGGGGCAAAAATAAAGGGTGAGTGGGCCTAAAAATAAAGCTTTGTAAAACCACTTTTCGAAAGCATAATAACCCCTCGCCGTAAAACAAGTATAGTTTCCAAAATATACATACTATGTATAGTAAGAAAATACTTACCATAGCCTGCAATATCTCAATAATTCAATACGACACAACATCTCGTAAATAAGCACATGACGTCCATAATCACGTAATCTTGCATAAGCAAACATATCATATCAAGTACTCATCGACACATGCTGACTCATGAGTTCATGTAGAGTTGTTCTGACATGAACAGGACTAGGTGTAACAATGATATACGTTCTAGTACTACAATCACGTGAAGATTGGCGCTATGCGAAGCACATACGAGTCCTAATTACCTATAGCAATCTAGGATAGGACTAGCACCTACAATGGATCCAAAGTGAGCATACGGTGCGATGTGCACATAGACGTGAAAAACTGTCATTGGCCCGGGCAAGTACCAACACTGGTGCAGCAAACGATTAGCAGATAATATAAACATAGTCATGCCACAGTGATTTGATAATTCTAGTCGACATAATATTATTCATAGCCATAAATTTAATTAAGGAATCCTGTAAGTTTAATAGTCGTTTCCTAATTTTCATTGTTACGTCATTTCCCATAAATGTTAATTTAATTACGGTAGCCATATAGAAAATTCATCATTAGATGTATATATGGAAACTAAATATATATATATATATATATATATGTATATATATATATATATATATATGTATATATATATATATATGTATATATGAAAGAAAAGACCTACTCACAAATTATGTCGTCGAGTCAAACCCGCCTCGTAACATCAAAAGTCCTTGCGATGTGTTTCACCTACAAATGCAACCACTTATGTAACTACATAACGTACTAACGTATAAACGCTCTACATAACGTACTAACGTATAAACGCGTTTTCACATAAAGTACGACTAATAAAGGAAATATTTTAAAATGATCGAATAGTTGGAGAGAAAGTGGAAAGCTAAAACAGTGAGAGGAGACACGAGAGTGAGGGGAGGAATGGCATGGTTCATTTATGGCCTTCTTGACCTCTCTGTTTTCAAAGAAGAAAATGATCATGAGAGAGAGAGAGAGAGAGAGAGAGAGAGATTTAAAATAATAAACTTAGTAAGAAGGAGTGAGGTGTCAACAAGAGTATGGTGCAAAAGTTTAAAAAAAATGAGAGAGTTTGAAAGAGAACTGAACCAAGATTGCTAGAGGGAAATGACACAGGACAGGGCAAGAGTGGGGTGTGGGCCCCACGTGGCTCACAAAACAAGCCCAAAATATGTCTAAACATGAAATTACCAAATCGCCCTTCACATTCGTAAATCCATAAAATCTCCATCGTAACTCCAAATTCGATTCCGCTTATGTCCACACGTTCATATCGTCGCGTACTACGCAATTATGCTAAAAGAAGGAGTCATATGTCGCTCAAAACTATGGTCAACGAAAGTCAACATCCTCGCCTTTAAGGGCATTTTTGTCAATTCACTCCTTAAAATTAATAAAATGGTAAAATTAAGGATGGGTTGTCACATCAAATATGCACACAACATGCACATGCCATATACAACAATCGGACAGAAATATGATTTTTCCAACACCTTGAAATGACTAAATTGTCCTCCCATACAAATGATTATCTAGAAATTCTAACTCTCATTTCTCATTTTGTAGAGGGAGACACATAGAAAAGAGAGAAAATCTCTCTCCAATTTTAGTTTGAAGAACACTAACCCACCCATCTTCTTCATCCAAGAGCTCTCTCTAACCCACCTATGTTCTTCATCCAAGCTCTCTCTCTCTCTCTCTCTCTCCCTCTCTCCCCTCTCTCTACATTTGGAATATGCACAAGAGCTCTCTCTAACCTACTCATCTTCTTCGATTTTTACCTTTTCATTCGTAGGTTTTGTGAACTGGGTTTGCTTAATTTTGCTTTTTGATTGATGAATTTTTGGAGGTGAAACGATTGGTTTGGTGTTTCTTGGAGGAGACTCAAATTCCTCAAATTTGATTTTACTTTTTATCATTTCTCTAATTTAAATGTGGGTTTTCATTTCTTATGTCTTCTCCCTCCCTCTACTCCCTCTCTCGATCAACATTTATAAGCACAAAAACAAGATTTGGTTTTTGTTGCAATTAAATGAAAAAATGTATTAAAGGTCAATTGCCTTTTGGAGAATAGATAAATTTGAGGGAAAAGAGAGAAACCAGAGTGGAAAGAAGGAATAGAGAAAGATATGGACGAAATTGTTTTGCGTACTCGTTCATTTTCTTCATATTAAGCTCGCTCATACACTGTATGTACACGACATGCACAGGACATGCACATGTTTTGCTCACAGATCTGAGCTCAACCCAAAAACACATAGCTCCCAACTCTCTCTTCGAAATTAGAAAAATGACGCAATCAGATAAATGACCCTGAACTTTATATGAAGAATAGAAGATTCATTAATTTGAATTTGGTATCAAATTTGATTGGATTCAAATATTTCAAGGATTTGAAAAAATTGCAGTTTGAATGGGCATGAAAGAACCCAACTGAATCAAAGGAAATTGTTTCACGAACTCGTTTGCTTTTTTCGTATTGCAGGGTCAGCCTCTGAATCAAAGGAAAAAGTAGTAAACTACGTTAATGCCAAGAGTATCAAAGATGTAAATACACACCATCTACACATAAGACACTATATGCACACCACATGCACATAATATATATAGTACATGCACATGACATGCACAGAACGAGAGAAACTTTAATGCAACATATTAGTATAGTGGATACAATTAAAACATAATTGTTATATATATATAAGGTTATAGTGACAGTTCCAAAAGTCTTGTTACATATCAACCACCGCTTAACCGTGCACGTGGAAAACATGATACTCGTTTTCGTTATTTCACGAACACACATGACCCTTAATGTCTTCTAAGTTTTTTCTTAATTTTTTTTTTCACTGAGGCCAGCTTAACTAGGTTGTCATACTCGCTAAATTTTGGAGCACAACATACATGCATCATAACTAGTGAACATTTCCGCTTCTCATATTAAGATGCAGTCATGCACACTATTTGCACACCACATGCACATTACGGAAAAAATTTCACCAATTTCTATAATTGGACACTTGAACTAGAAATTGTTCCATCCCACTTTTGTAGCACGTCAAAACTTAAAATTTATTCCACAAACAATACACCCCAACATGAAACACAAACCCTAATTTAACTTCTAAGTATTAATTCATCTTACACACAACCCATTTTTTTCATAAATCATTGATGAAGGAACTTAGAATTAAACACCTTATCTTATTATGCCTGCCGAAGCTTCAGTCGCATGAAAAAATGGTATTTTCCAACTAAAACAAAAAACATGGTATAAAACCCAGCTCTTTCTTCTCGCCTCTCTTTGAACTTTCATCTCTTCGAAATCAGAGTTCAGGGATCCGAGGAAATGAGAGAGGTAGAGAGACAAAGTGAGAAAAGAGAGAGAAAGGGAGAGAGTACAGAGAAATCAGAAAATGAAAGGAATAACTCATTTATATGTGAGTATTTTAGTAATTTTAATGTTATGTATGGTTTGTGAATGATCGGTTTGTCGTATTTCTACTTCAAGTTAAGAAATTATCTCATTTTGGAATATTTTCTAAAAATTATATATGAAACGCCACCGCTTCCGGTCAGGATGTTCTGATGACAAGCAGAAGTAGAACCCTAATTTTGTAGAAAGAAAATTTCCAAATTTTCTGAAATTGTGAGCATCCTCTCTTTCGTCTTCTCTCTCGCTATGGACTCTCTGCTTGCCAACTACGCCTCTTCGGACGAAGAAGAAGGTCAACAGCAGCAGCAACCACCACCACCAAAACGCACAGCTTTAACCCCAAAACCCAGCTCTCAACTTTCCTCCACTTCCTCTCTCTTTTCTTCTCTACCCAAACCCAAACCCCAAAATTCCTCTTTCTTCCAATCCCTTCCCAAACCAAAACAAACCCTAATTCCAAAATCCCCAAATCTTGGCGATGACGATGAATACCCAATTGATTCAACCCCCACCTCAAAACCCTCCTCGGTTTTCTCATCGCTTCCTCCGCCGAAATCCCGAAATCCAATTCAACCCATCACCAATCTCTCGTCATCCGATCAAAACCCTAGAAGGGTTGTCCAATTCAATCCTCCAATCAACTCATATAAGTACGATGAGGAAGAAGAAGACGATGAGGAAGAAGAAACGCGGCGCCGAAAAGCGTCTGAATCCTCGGTCCAGAAGTTGTCTGCGAAGTCGTTTTTGTCGTCCTTATCGGCGCCCAGGTACTCCTCCACATTGGGTGCATCCGCTGGATTGGGTTCGGGTTCGGGTTCGGGTTCAGGCAGGAGAGCCATTGTTGAAACGGAATCGGTTGGTTCGGGAGTCGAGAGCGGTGCGGGGGTGGAGCAGAATGTAGAAAGTCATGAGAAGTTCCAATCAAATATTGAGCAAAGTGCGGTTAACCATGAATGGTATGGTGGTTCTGAGAATTACCAATCTACTATTGATCAAAATGCAGTTAATTATGAAAGCTATGGTGGTTACGAGGGTTACCAATCTGGTATTGATCGACATGTGGATGCTGGGGTTCAGTTACAAGCAGGAGTTAGTGGTAGTGATCCTTCGAATTATGGCAATTATGATGGTTATGGGGGTTATGCTGGTTATGAGCAGCAGTATGGGAATGATTGGGTTGGTGGGTCCGGAACTGTGGTGCCAACCATCCCCGCTACTGGTGTAAGTGAGATTAAAGTTGGTAAAAAAAGGGGGAGGAATGAGGTGCCAACTGAAATAATTGAGGTTAAGCAGGACGAGTTGATGAAGAATCGGCCAAGAGAGGACCAGGCTAAGTTAACAGGAATTGCCTTTGGGCCTTCTTATCAGGTATCAACACGATGTTCTTGTTTCTTTTAGTGTTTATCAATTGAAAGTGATTTATATATTTTGACTTCTGCGTTAACACCTTGTTTTTCATTTATAATTTGAGAGCTCAAGGGCTTGTGTTGCTAAATTTTAATGCATAGTGAAACTGTTAGCAGTATGTTTTTATTGCAATGCTATGAATTTGAGAGACAGTTCAAGTTCTGTTTCATGTATAATTTCCTTTTTGTATATCAGACTCTGCATGCACTACTCTTCTATCCCATAACCTTGTTGATTAACGACCTTTTCATGCCATTTTACCAAACACTTATCATTGCCACTTCGTAGTACGGTCTAGTGATATTCCTCTTCACTGGTAAGTGAGAGGTCTTAGATTCGATTCTTGCCAAAGGCAAATTTGAACCACATTATTGCTAGTCCATTGTGAGGCTAAGCCCACCCCCCCCCCCCCTCTCCCGTGTAGATAATATCGATTGTTCAAAAAAACAAACGCTTATCATTAAGCCGGTGTAATGAAGTCAATACAGATAATATCGATTGTTCAAAAAAAACAAACGCTTATCATTAAGCAGGTGTAATGAAGTCAATGAAATTAGATGTGAAAAGGAAGGGCTATACGTTGTAAATAATTGATTCTTGGAACTTGAGTTTGTTGAATTATGAAGGGTAATAGCAATTGATGTTTTAACACCTAAAACCTAAAATACTGTTTTAAACTCTGCGTTACAGTTTATTATTAAATTTGTCAAAATGATATAGATTAGCCATTTGATATTGCATTGGGAAACCCTATATCTTTCCAATGCATAATGTTACTCAATATAGTATTAAGCATCAGGTAGGACTGTAGGATCAAGGATAGAGTTGGAGCCTGGAGGTTTAGGTTTTTTCTTTGTGCAGTAAGACTATGAAGAAAAAGGAGATTTGAGTTAAAGGAGACAACCAACCAGCCATCCAAAGCATGGCCTAAGATAGTACATAGAAGCTTTGCACCTGGGAATCCATTCTTTCATAAGAGGACGCTTTGCAGAAATTTGACAAGGAAAAGGTGCCTGTAGTTATGATGCTTAAGTATTTTCCTTGGAAGGAAGAACTGAATTATGGATAGTCGACTTTCTTTTAGAACTATTCGAGTTTAGAGTTGTGATGGCTGATGTCTTCTGCCAAACTTATAGAGCATCCTTGGGGTATAAAGTTGGACGTTGTAGAAATTGAGTCTATAGGTGGACACAAGTTTTCACTAGTTGTCCTTTCTTAACTATTCTCGAACTGCAAGTACTAGGGAGGACTCTTTCCTGACTAGATTGACTTTGAATTGTCTAAAACGACCACATATAGTAATTTTGTTTGTCAGTAGTGTTTGATAAAAAAATTTAAATCCATAACCTAGTTCCTTATGGATATGTTTCCAAACATCATGAGGGATTTTGATATATCCTTTCGGTCACGTTTTAATTGGAGTGGGCTATGCATGTCATTGATTCCCTTTAGATTGGCAGCAATGAGATTATGGTGTCAGCAGGTAGGATAGTGTTTAGATGAAAATAATGTCATAGGCTGTTTGTGTGAGAATTTTATATTTTATGTTGCCAATAAATATGGACTTAATTCTCTTTTTTAGTTGTTTTTCGGATGTTTTGTCATTTACCTTGGTTCATGTTCATTGAATACTTGGTTAATTGCTTCATTGTTTTTCCTTCTCTTTCGTTTCTAGGTTTTTATTCTCTCTGTTTTTAATATGGGTTTTTATTTTTAAACTAAATTGAGCTCCTAGTACATCTTATACATATTACATAGTAACTCTATGTATTGTTTTTAATTATTAAACAGAGATGTAGAATAATTGTGTCGGGTTGAAACTCAGAACCGACTTTCAATAAGAAATCACTCTACTTCAACCACACTTATTGCAATTTCCATTTCGCAAGAAAGGAACTCCTAAGTCACTGTTCTCGTTGTTTGTCCTTGCCAGTAACTAGACAGTGCTTTGCTATGGTTATGTATTTATGCATTGACTGATATATTTAAATTTGTTACTTTCAGCCTGTTTCTACAAAAGGGAAGCCTACAAAGCTGCATAAGAGGAAGCATCAGATTGGTTCTCTATACTTTGATATGAAGCAGAAGGAGATGGAACTCGCAGAGCGGCGTTCAAGAGGCTTCCTGACTAAAGCTGAAACACATGCCAAGTATGGATGGTGATCCGGGGGTGATTCTTTATCCTGTTGTACCCTGAATCTTTTATTTGAAATAGTGACGTCAAAAACATGAAATTATCTCTTTTACGTGTTTGCTCGAAGTTGTGTTGCTTCTTAAGATTTGTATCTATCATGAAAATATAATCATTCTTGCATTCTAGTTTGAGAATTCGGTATCTGGATTTGTTTATTATGGGGAGCTATTGAATGTTAGGCAGCTTTCGGATATTATGAGTGTCGGTAACTTGTGAAGGAATCCTCCCACGGAAGATTGCATCGTATGTACACAACATTGAGTACACAAATGTTGAGCAGCTCAGTGGCAACATCCTTGTAGCTAACTTTGTTTTTCTTTGAAGGTTCTCCGTTCAGAATTCGGATCCAGTGCTGGTTTCTCGAACTCGTATGTGCGTGTGCGCTCGCTCGCGTTCTGTGGTCATGGTAGGAACCAACCAAATAAAAAGAACAAGTCTGATGAGAAACCAGCACTGGATCCGAATTCCAAAAGGAGAACCTTCAAAGAAAAACAGAGTTGGCTACAAGGATGTTGCCACTGAGAACTTTAGTACAACTTGTTATTGGAATTGTCAAAGTTTATTAGGAACGAATGACAATAGTCTTGTATTCCTGTAAACACCGGAATGTAGGCTATTTTCCATGAAGCCGGTTGCTAAACAATATATTTACAAATAATTCAATATTAATTGGAACACAAATAAGTAAGTGGTTGATTGCCTGGTTCCAACCCACTGTATATTGAGCACAAACCATTCTTCCTTCCCCTAGTTGTATAATATTGCTTGTAATAAATATTGTAACACATTCAAGGAATTGAAATATTACTTATGACAGACTTTATGAGCATTACACAAAGAAATTAACTTGGCTCCTCAACGAATGAGGAGGATTTCCTCCTCAATTTACTACGCAGCTAATTTACAAAAAAAATTCATACTTATGATCAAAATCATTCCTATTATTAATCACTTGTAAAGATTGTCCCTGCAAAAAATGGATAAAATATGAGATCGTCGAGTTATCGAACTGTATAAAAACAGATTGATGAATTTGGTACAAAAATTATTAACCGTTTATCTATATGTTATAGTTAATTGATTTTGTTGTAGAGGTTATCTTTATATAGTGATCTATACCATTATAAGTAGGAAGTTCCGTGAGTCGACCACAAAATATCTTGAGGATGATGAACTCCTCCTCTGTCTTAAGGAGCCAACAAATTTTCGTATATTTCAATAATAGTGACTTAGACTTTACTAAAAATTGCAACAATACAATTTTAGATTCATAGCTGTTTCTGATCTGAATCACAGTTTTAGTTTCATCAGAGAATACAATCAAACACGAAGACTATTCTTTCATCTAAAAGAAGAAGATTGCAACTGAGGGATACAAGGCCATTTGCCAGCATCAGCTGAAGAACAGTGGTGATCAAAATGTTGAGCCGTTGAACCCGAAGAAGGACCGCTGAACGAGCAGAATATAAACACATTAGTAATAAATCATCATCAGATAATATTTGTTATAATCGAACTATCAGATGAAATACTCTCCAACTAATCAGGTCAGACTCAAATACGAATCTATGTATGTGGAAAGGCGTAGCATAACCGGTCCCCTTGTAGTCTGGGGGTTTTGCGATACGACAAAGCTTCTTGGAGAAATGTTGTAACTGGCCTTTTTGAGAAATGGCATCTCCTCCTCCCCCATTAGTGTACAGGGGGAGGGGGGGAGGCATTACTATTTATTCTCTTCTTTTGTTTTGATTCGGGGAAGGGGAAGCACAATAATAATGGAATCATGCGTGGGTGTGGAGATAAATTGCTCTACCACGAGAACAAGAAGTCCCATGAGTAATTTATGATGTTATGCAATACGAAGATTACACAAAACTAGTAGAGTGCAGGTGCAAAATTCAGGCAAACGAATACAAAACAAGTAAATGGGCTCACCTCAACGTCATAAAATTTGATATAGAAGCGGGAGCTATCAATGGAGAGCTTAGTTTCAAGAATTTCTGCAATGGTTGAACTCAGTTTTCCGTTAACACCTGGTCCAATGCCCCCAATGGAGATCAATTCTCCATACGCAGCAGGCTCTTCCGTGCCAGCAAATGCAATTGGCACAGACCCGTTGAGCAAAATCATCACATACTGAAGAACAGGGAACCAAACAGAAACATAAATACCCAATGATACTGTAAGCCACCGATACAATATAGAATTGAATGGGAAACAAGATATTACTGTTCATTCAGTACTTTCGTCGAACACTTTATGTGCATGCCAACAGCAAGATAAAAAGCGAAACGAGAGAGAGAGAGAGACTTAACGGACTCGGGTTTGCCAATGATCTTAGAAACGGCTTTGGTGGCGTCCTTGAGGATGTCAGAGGCCACAACTCCGTCCACCGGCAAGTTGGTAAACAGATTCAACGTCGGCATTCTTGTCAGATTTGAGGAGAAGATGAACAAACAAGGCGTTTCTTATTAGAATCACAGAATTACAGAAACCGGGTGGTTCTAAAAAACGCAGCTTGTAACCTTGTAGATAAGTCTATCTATTTATTCTACGCTGTTGAGGAATCATGTCCTTGTCAATTTTGCTACCCCACCACTTTATTTATTAGTTGTTTTTTCTTTAAGAGTCCAATAAGGCCACCAAAGCAATGAAGGCTGAAACAAAAATCAGAATTTTGATTGTACATTGACAAATTTGCGAAACTAGTAATGATTTGAAATTCGTTTCTTGTATTTATTGATCGTGCGGATATGAACTCTTGGGATCATACGGTTGCTGTTTCCTTCATGCATCAGATCGTGGGTTCACTATGCTGTTTCCAAAGGCTTTTCCCCAAGGTCCAACAAGTAATAGGACAAAACAGCTGACTTGTCTCAACTCTCAAGAGGCTATAAGTGTGTGTTGAAATAGGGTTCTGTGGGGTTCCTTTCCTCTAGTTTTTAAACACATCAAAACAGCAGAGTCCTTTAAATCAACCAATCTATTCATTCCGTTTCTCCGATACCATACATTTTAGAGTAGAGTTCAATTGTAATATATTTTTTATTATCACAATTGTATTCTTTCTTTATTTTAATAAATATTACTATTTGGTCTCATCCCATACATGAACACAAGTAGAATATCCACAACTGGATTCCTCTTTCTTTTCTTTTTTTCTTTCTTTTTTTTCTTTTTTTTTTTTTTTAATTTTTGTGGTGATGGATTATCCATTCACTGGAGTTCTTAATTTCTTACTGGCCTAGAATAATGCTTATATTCAAGAACATGATTACAAATCCAAAGTTTGATCAAACTCAAAAAAGGAAACCAAAAAATAATAATTAAAATCCTCGTTTAGCTTCCAAATTAATGAACAAACTCACAAAGAAACACAAAAACCGCTACTATTTCGCTACAGTCTTCTATATCCCTTTCAAGCTTAGTTACCCTGGAAAGCTACCAACAGATCAAATCTGATGATTCAGATAACAAAACAGGACCCTGACCCCTTCTGGCAACTTTATAAATACTACCTCCAACATTAATATTTCTCTGATTATAATCATTTGGAAAAAGCAGAAAACCCACCATTAGTCCTTACCAATTAATTCAAAGCCTGAACGTGCTGTAGCCTCCTCCTAGACCAGACGATCCATAACTGCCGCCATAGGGTTGTGAGGGTAGTGACGATGATGGGTATGATGGAGCACCTAACTGAGAGTAGGATGACCTCAATCCAGTATCCATCACGCCATAGTTACTTGTAACTGGCTCCTTCCGACTGTTTATAACCTCCTAAAACACACACAAGAAAAGATAACCAAGTGTCTAAAATTTCCAAACCATGAATCACTCCCTATTGAAATTACATATTATTCAATGTTTTTAACTTGCCAAATATTCAACTGCCAGCATGCTAATATGCAATATTTTTTCCCTAATGAAATTTTTTAATACAAATCGGTAAACTACCACCTTCTGTAACTTAAACATGGTAATTCATCTTTCATTATCTCAGAGTCGTAACAGGTCTTTATTAAACAAACAAACAAAAAAGTGTTTGCTTCCGCTCCTTGCCTCCTCCTTGATATTTGAAAAGAAATACTCATTGGTAAGCATACCTGAATCAATTGTTGAGCCATCTGAACCTGTGACGAGGTGCCTTTTATTTCTACAGTAATTTCATCAGGTAGTCCCCTACTCTCTTGCACAGTTAAAATGGCTCCACTACTACGACGAATGAATGCAATATTCGACCCTTCAACCCCAATAATGTCCTCAGCATAAGATAGAGGAATTTGCATTGTTTGTGCAATCTGATTATAGAATGCAACAGATAAAATATTACTACCAAGACTGTATAAATAGAGAACGGAAGTACAAGAATGTAAACAGAATATTCCTCTTTCTACATAGCCCTATTTGCACTTAATTTTTTTTCTTAATGAACAATCAGAGTATAAATGCAGAAATTGACCCACATAACACAGGCCTGATACAATCTGATACACTTTAGTTTTCCAATTAGAGACAAATTTTCCAGGCATCATACATCAAGAAATTTTTCCTCAAATGGACGAGTCAGTAAGTAAGACATACATACAGCCTATGCATATCCTCAGATTTATAGTTATAAACAAGACGCATATTCCTACTGTTGCCAAGTAAATAAAGGTCTAGACAGTAAAGGATCCCCCAGCATCCTTATAAGGAAGCAAAATATACAACACTGTTGACCCCGTAATTTAAATAAAAGTTACAGCAAAGTTAGACCATCCTTGTGTGTATGCATGCTGTGAAGACCCAAATAAACTCATTACAAGGAAGTCTGAAGTTGAGATAAAATGTCACAGTTAGAACAACTAACCTGAGTAACAACAGGAGCACCAGGACGACCAATTCCTGAAGAACGAAGAGAACCAAGATCTTGTCCATAAATAGACCCTTGTCCGTAAATAGAAGTGTCTTGTCCATAAATAGGAGGATCTTTTCCATAAATTGAAGGATCTTTTCCATAAAGTGAAATTCCAGCGGAAGGGAGTTGTGATTCCAATTGAGTTTCACGATCAAGAAACAAAGACTCCCTCTTTGCTGAGAGAGAATAATTAGTGCTAACTCCAGTTTGAGAAGCAGTATGCAGCAATGACTTGTCAGCCCAGGTAGTATCTGGTTGGCGCTCTTGTGAGATTGTCGCATACTAAAGATGCACGATCTAGTAATTAATACACAGCAATACAAAGAAATGAAAATACAGCAGACATCAATGGGAAATAAGCTTACAGTCTTCTCAAAAAGTGGAATAACACTATGATCAACCAAGAACTTCCTCAGGTGAGTCACTACTGCTTCTACAGCTTTGAGAACTTTTAAAGCTTCTCCCTGCAATTCAACAATCCTCTCATCTGCGGCAGCATAGAATGGAACCTCCTCTGCACGAATAAAAAAAAGGTATCGGAGAATGAAGAAAGGAAGAAAGGGAATAGACACTAGTTTCATAAATAAGGATCTGAATACACTGAATAACATGATCAGAGCATTTCTAAAAGGGACAATGAATATGACCAAGGTTTGTTTTTCAAAAATACAGCTAATTAATTTTTTGATGAGTATAAGCATCATGCATTCTGAAGTTAAAGGACTCTAACATGGAAAACGGATCCACAACTCAGATGCAGGAAAGGCAAAGGGAGAAGAGTTTAAAGTCCATGCCATACTAGGAATAATAATATACTTATCTTCACTAGCATGATCACCGAACTTATAAATTACCAACGGAAAAGCTAAGTCGGTATAAGAAGGAGCACAGAAGTAACTCGAAATAAAGAAAACAAATACGGAAACTTAATTATCATTTTAGGTCTAATTTCCAATAAGTAAGCCCTTCGCTCAGTTGTTCATTGTGTAACCAATCTGACCACTTCAGTTATAAATCATAAAAACAGCAATGAAACACACTATCCTTAGAATTGGGGAAAAGGTGATGAAATAGGCAGATATTTTCAACCATTGGTACTTTACTGAATGAAGAAAAGTTGTATCATGTAACAATAAGAACATACCTCCAGACAATACTCGCACAGACGATCCGGTACTCTCTTGTATAGATTTGATTAATGATCCTTGTTTTCCAATTAAATTAATTGCTTGGGTAGATGCTACCAACAACCGGATGGAACAGAATGCAACCCCAGCACCACCAGACCCCTCACTCTCAGATAATCCAGAGACACGTTTGAATATTCTTATTACAGCATCCATTGCAGGGGAAAGAGGTGCCTCTGGCTCTTCCCTTCCAGAGATCAGCACCTAAAAAGAAATGTGTATTAGAAAGATTGTAGCATAGAATGATATCACGATAAACAGTTTCTGGTTCAATGGCCTCACACACTGATAGATCACAAGCAAGTGGAAAGAAGCTTCACGGCCAGTAAGATAGTGATGAACCACTTTGAGATTAAGACTAAAAAGGAAATATAAGATACAGAACCACAGATTGGTTCAAGCATGCAAGAAAAAGGTGATGGGTTGGTAAAGAAGTTGATATACCTTTGTAATGTTGATACCCATGGAAACTTTGTTAGGAAGGTATCAAATCTTATAATTACCAATTAAACAATGCATAAAAACAAAGATTTAGTCTTGTAACTAGATAGTTGTAAAACTTCTCGACAGTTACTCGTCTTATAGTATAGCCCTTACTATGGTTTGAGTGTTTGAATAAAACCACAAGCCCGGTGCAAAAGAGTTCACATTATAATAGGTCATCTTGACATAGCAGAATACCAGATACTTATTGTCATTCCCATCTTATGCCCCACCAACAAATCAAGTGATTGAGTAAAACTCTGAGATGGATGCAAAGGACTTTGCCTAGCAACGAGTCATCTTCAGATAGTAGAAAACTCAACACTGATCAAGTCTCGTTTCAGATTTCAGATTATCTTATATCTTCATGTCTATAAATTCAAGAAAGTTACTGATCTTATGCACATTACTAACACATTGAATGATTGAACAAAACTATAAGCCAGGTGCAATAGCCTTTTCTAAGCAATAACACCTATGAACCAAATGCTAGCATTAAACTAACTTTGCTTTTAGGGTTTCTGTTACACCGTGACAGATTCAACTAAATTCCCAAAATTCAAATTCAAATTTTCAATCTTTACTCTTCCCACCCACTTGTTAGCAACAACAAAGCTTAATTAGAGACCCTGAATTGTCATTGTGCCACAATTAAACAGAGGATAACACAAAGGAAGCTGACAATTACAAACCCTAGGGTTCAACGCAACCATAAAACCAGTTTAAACGCAGCACTTTGGAGCAAATTACGAGAACACGAAAAAGCAAACCCTGGAAAGGAAGAAATCGAGGAAAAACTCACGATGCGATCAGGATTTCCAACGGCGCCGTCGAGGACTCGAATGCGAGCTCGGGTCTCCTCACACATCTTCTTAATGAGCTCGCCTTTGCGGCCGATAATGCTACCGACCTTCAGAACCGGCACAATTAGCCGAAACACACAGTCCCCGGGCCAACCCGGCCATCGTTTATCGGCTACTGAGGTGGCATCGTTGCCGACATTCGTTGCGGTTGTGACAGCCCCGGCGTCCGATACGGGTTCGGGATTTTGGTTCGGATTGTTATCGGTTGTTGTTGGGTCGGACTCGGGCGCTGTAATTGGGGCGGTGGTGATTTCGGATGTGAGTGGTTGTGCGTCGGCTTTCGCAGCCTTGGCGGAGCCGTTCTCGGGGGGTTGGGCGGTGGCCATGCTAGGGTTAGGGTAAAAGGTTTAATTGGACGGTGATGCCTGAAAACGGAAGGGGGTTCTGTTGGTGGTGTTGCAGCTGTGTCTGCAAAACAAAAGAGAGAAATTATTAGGTACCCCGTTTAAAATTTGACATGTATTCACATCAATAAAATAAGAGCATCCTAATGGAAGAAATTTTTTATTGTAATCGGAACGCGGATGGTACATCATGTGTTTTTATATAAATAGTGGGAAATTTTATTTTTTTTAAGTTATTAACTTTTTAACACACATATCCAATCATTTGTATAGTGACACATAGTGTATCATCCTATATTTCAGTCACACTGAAAAATCTCTCTCCTAATGGGAGCTTTTTCCTGCTACTACATTTCAAGCCTTAGTTAAAAAAATTTCATCCCAAAATGAAATTAGATCCAACACTAAGGCTAGCAACTTCCTTTCTTGGGTAGCATAAAATTGGGCTAGATGTAGCTTTAAAAAACAATGAGTCCCATAAAAAGTAGTAATTCATCTGAGCAAAATTCTCACTCTCCCCCCAATTGTGAATACACTTATCCTCTCCTTTTATTCTCTTTTTAATTATTTTTTCTTACATATTTTTTTTGCAATTTGGCTAATTAATTATTGTTTTAAATTCCATAAGAATTAAAATTTCAAATTGATTTAACGTTCATGGGCATTGGTAGGTGAAATTTCCAAATAATTTTTTTCAAAATAGTATGATACTAATTTACAAATTGGTGCTAGGTAAATTGTTGTGTTGTATGTGAAAATCAAATTATTTCAAAAGGCAAAGTGGAGGTTTGTATAACAGATGTGATTGAGATAAGAGAATTTAATCCAACGAACGGTTTATAAGTGATGAAATCTAACTTTGTCATAATTTGAACTATTTTAGGTTGAAAGGTTCCCAAAAAAAATAAATAATAAGATAGCGCATCCAAAATTCAACTTAAGAAAAGTTAACACAACAAAAAAATTATCGCATAATCAAATTGCTACATAAATAAATATATATAGACTCATATAGAGCCCGAAAGAAATATCCCCTCATTGGGAGAGATTCTTTTATAAAGCCTCAAAGATTCCTAGGAACTCTAACATGTGTTATCCACCACTTTTCCAACCCCATATAGAAACCTTCACTGGAACGCTCTTAGTGAATTAAAAATAAATTAAATACTTATAAATAAAATTATTAGTAACCACCCTCCGTCCTCTATAAACACCGATCCCAATTCTCTGCCTCCATAACTTCAACCCTACATGCATGCCACTGATTGCCATGAGAACAAAAAAAAAAAAAAGAAAAAAAAAAGAAAGGGAAGAGTGGACAACCATGGCAACCAAAGATTGGCAAGTGGGGTTGGAGCTATGAAGGTGGATGGCTAAGATTGGTATTTGTCGGGAACTGAGGATGGTTGCTGGGAATTTTAAATATTTAAATCCCTTAACAAATGATGTCCAATTGTGAATGAAAGGTCCACATGCCATATTTCAAATGGGAGTATAATGGACGTGGTAGTTCAGTATTTACCTAATAATTTCTCTTAAAAGACACCGTACCAGTTTTTTTTTTTTTTTTTTTTTTTTTAACAACGATAGTATCTATACTAAGAGGGTGGAGGAGTGAGTTAAGTCTTACAATGGACTTGCCATAATAATGTGGTTCAACTTTGCCTTTCATGAGAATCAAACTTAAAAACTCTCACTTAGAAGTGAAGAAGAATATCAAATATGAATGGCACGTGTTATAGCATGTGATCTCACTCTTTCTAATTCTATGCAAATTGTTGTAGCAAATTTATCCATTGGTGAAAGATAAAGGCAAGGGCAAGGGCCTAAAGTTGCCATAAAAAAACTACTTCATCGGGCCTAGAAGAAGCGGGTAAGTGGTGGACCATGTAAAGCCTGTCCAAGATGCCCATACAACTTATGTCCGACCTTGCACTAGCGGGCAAGCTGACGTCAGTCACGTTGTTTTATTTTTTTGTGTCTGGCATGTGCAATGCATGTGTGAACTTGGCACGTGGCCCAACATTTTTGTTGTCGTGTCTGCTGCAACAGTCCAACAACCACCACAACGTGGCAATTTGTGAGTCGTTGGATTTCTAATGGCCGAAATTTCTGGACCATATAAAATGTTACCGTTATGTCATGTGGAACGTTCTAGTGCATCGGATTTCAAGTGAGTATAAAATCAACGGCCATGATTAATCCAACAGTAAAAAATTTTAAAATTTGAAAAAAAAAATGATTTTCTTTTATTATTATTCTATAAATACCCAAGCATCTTTTTCATTCCCACATCAGAACTCAATATAATTTTTATTACAATCTTCTATATTTGTTTTTCACTTTACAAATCCTTTTGCTACCAAAAAAAATGAGTGAGAAAGCAATTTGGTTGATCGGGGAAGACGTTACTTTGCATGTGGTTTTACATGTATGCTACTCATGACCTGGTCACAGGAATGATATGAGGGTACAACAAATGTGAAAGAAGATTTATGCACAATTTATCAAGCAGATTCAAGGCACATCCCAGACCAAGCAATCTTTGTCAAGTAGGTACAAACATCTACATAAATATTTGAAAGCTTGGCAAGAAGCCCTTGCAAAAGCGGATGGAGTTTATCGAAGTGGCAATAATCTAGCCAATAAGGTAATAACATTTTTTTATTAATAAACTTAAAATGTAATTAACATGTTATTATTTAGACCTTTATGTTGTTTCACAATTTTTATTTCAGTTACTACAAGTACAAATGTCATTCAATCTTGAAAATAAGAAATCATTCACAAGGCACGAATGTTGGAACATTGCAAAGCATACTTCGAAGTACAAAGTTCGGCCTAGTGGTCCACAAGTTGGGTTGAATGAGACTCTCTTTCATGAATCTAGTACTAAATAGTCGCCATTGAAGGCACCATTGGAGACCCCAATTGAATCGCTCACATAAAACCAAGAAGCCCTGAGGCTTATTGGTAAGAAGGTTGCTAAGAAAAGAGTTGCAACAGGGAATTTTCGATTAATGATTACGTTAGTCAAAATTAGTTGACGAATTGGCTCGCCAACATGCACTAAATGTGGAACAAGATAGGTTATTTAACGAGTAAGACAAGGCTAGAGATGAAACAAGGGCAAGAGAACAAGAGTTAAATAGGCAAGAAAAGCAAGAGGAGAAAGATTGAGATATCATGTACCGTTGCCTCGGCATTATGTCTCCTGATTTTCAAAACGTTTTTGGAAAAGCGAAAAAAATGCCATCATGAGTGAAGGTTTTCTAAGGAAGATGAGGGAGTTCCATACGTTTCAAGGGCAAATGAATGTGACATCCCGTCCTGAAATTTAATGTTTTTATTTCCGATAGCAATGAAATTTCTAAAATGCCCATGAGATGCCATGTAAGCCTTCCACGTGGACCTCAATTTTCCTCTCACTTTACCACTCTTATTTTACTACTTTTGAACAATACTTATTTTTTTGAACATGTGGCCACATACGGAACTTAATTCAGAGTTATAACAAACAAGTTATGTTCGAAATTGTGAAAAAAAAAATACCCGAGACGAAATTCAAAACTTGGAACTTTCCTATGCAGCACGCACCAATGCATGAGTCCTATTTGGAACGCTGATGGCGTGTTTACCAAACGGGAATGGAATGGAAAGAAACGAAATCACATTCCTCCCGAAGCATTTCCGCATTTACTAACATTTAGGGAATAAAAAAGTAAGTAGGGCCCACTTAAAATCCGGAATCAAATTCCTTAATCTCTTAGAATCAGATCCCCTAGATGGAGGTGGTATTTGCATTCTGGGGAGAAGGCTCTTCCAGGAATCCAACTTTTATACCTAAACTGCCCTCGTATCTTCTACCTCCCCCTTCACGGTTCTGGATGATTTTGTGCCCAGATGGGCTTCGAAGATTGAAATGGTGGAATGAGTTGTCGTTGGCGAAGAACAGAGTTACAGCCCTTGCGGGTTATGCTGATCTACTTCGCATAGTAAGAGGGGGAGCAAAACGTGGTTGGCGATGAGGAGAATCTTGTGGGTGTAGGGGAAATTATCAATTACCTTTTAGGCACAATTGGGGAAAGCCACCCAATCGATATTCACCGGACACAACGAAAGGCTTTAAATACCCCATTGCCAACTATGTGTCATCACATAAGTTATCAGAACCCAGCAAGGCTTTTGTACAACAAATATCCAATGATAGCACACCAAGTTCCCTGAATGAGGCACTATCTGACGATCGATGGACCAAGGTAATGGAGGAAGAAATGGCTGCACTCCAGAAAAATCAAACGTGAGATTTACTTCCATTTCCCCAAGGAAAGAAAAGAGTTCGGTGTCGATGGGTGTACACCATCAAGTACAAAGCTGATGGGTCCATTGAATGATACAAAGCACGATTGGTGGCCAAGGGATACACCCAGACATATGGTGTTGATTATACAGAGACATTTGCCCTAGTAGCAAAGATTAATACGATAAGAGTATTGCTTTCACTGGCGGCCAACTTAGATTGGCCATTATAGCAATTTGATATGAAAAATACTTTCTTACATGGTAATCTTAAAGAAGTGTATATGGATATTCCACCTAGTTATGCATTGGTTTTACAACCCGGAGTATTGTGCAAGTTGAATAAAGCGTTGTGTGGGTTAAAACAATCACCTCGAGCATGGTTTGGTAGGTTCCAGACGGCTATGAGGAAATATGGGTTCAGGCAGAGCAATTCCGATCATACACTTTCCTTGAAACGTCGAATGGGGAAATTGACGACACTTATCATCTATGTGGACGATATGATTGTTATGGGTGACGACAAAGAGGAAATCTCAAAGCTCAAAGATTACCTAGCAACTGAGTTCAAGATGAAAGATCTTGGTGGTTTGAAATATTTCTTGGGGATAGAAGTAGCTCGATCTAAACAAGGTATATTAGCTGAAACCAGAATGCTTGATTGTAAACTGGCTAACACCCCCATGGTCCAAAATCACCATCTTGCCGTGCACCTTGATCAAGTTCCCACTAATAGAGATCGTTATCAAAGGTTAGTTGGGAGGTTAATTTATTTATCTCGCACCAAGCCTGATATTGCATACGCAGTAAGTGTTGTTAGTCAATTTATGCATTCTCCGAGTGAGGCACATATGGGTGCGGTTGAACGCATCCTACGGTACCTGAAGTCCTCACCGGGTAGAGGCATCATGTTTTCCAAGAATGATCATTCCCGAATAGAGGGTTACAATGATGCAGATTGGGCAAGCAACGTTACCGATCGTCGGTCTACATCTGGTTACTTTACATTTGTGGGAGGAAACTTAGTGACTTGGCGGAGTAAGAAACAGAAAGTGATTGCTTTATCAAGTGCAGAGGCGGAATACAGGGGTATGGCAAAAGGAGTATGTGAACTATTATGACTTTGGAGGTTACTTGTTGAGCTCGGATATCCTTCTAATTCAGCCTCGAATTTATTTTGTGATAATAAAGTAGCTATCGATATCTCACACAACCCAATTCAACATGATCGCACAAAACACGTGGAAGTTGACAAACACTTCATTAAGGAGAAGTTGGATGGGAATATTATTCAATTCCCGTTCGCAAAGTCAGAGGATCAATTGGCGGATATCTTAACTAAAGTTGTTGCAAGTCAAGCGTTCTACAACTCTCTTGTCAAGTTGGGCATGAACGACATTTATGCACCAACTTGAGGAGGAGTGTTGGAGAGTTGACATTTTGTAATTATTTTAGTTACCTATTTGAGTCCATGTAATTAGATCGTAATTAGGTTATTTGATTTTCTTTCCTTGTAAATCACTCTTGTACATTATATATTTTCCTCCTTGGTGAGAAGAATCATATGAGGAAGTTAAACCCCAAAATAAGCCCTAATTAGCATATAGTATGTTTGGCCATTCGCTTTTATGTATATTAAGTTCAAGCAAAATCCATGCTGTCTTTTACATCTCAGAAGCTCACTTCTTTAGGAAGATAGGCAAAATGGGTAGCTGCCCTCGTTTTAGCCTTCAAGTTTCAGACTATCTAGTTATCTTTAAAAAGAATGGGGCCATTGCCTTTGAAATTTAGCACGATCGAGTAGCATTTTCATGGCCACATTCCATTCCAGAAAGGATGCAGTGCTCATCGGTTGTGTCTTTTCTGCACCTACTGTTTGCTGCAAATATACACAAACAGCAGGTTTCTTGTTTTTCTTAGGTACGTACACAGACTATTTTTAGATAAAGGCTAATGGATCTACTAGTTCTATCACTTGGTTATCTCATTGTTTAGAGTTCTATGCTGAAATTGACAAGCGGCTAGTTAATAACATCGTTGAACTTAACTAATCAAGGTTAAGAACTTATACCCTCAATTTGGTAAATGATGGATATACAGTCTCTCTTTTGATGACCAACGAAACAGGAGGATTCGAATAGGTTCTCTTTCGATATTAGAAAGAGAAGTATTGCTAATTGGTTTATATGGCAACTCTTGCCTAATTAATTATATAAAACGAAGCATATATATCTTAGACTGATGAAGTTTATTGTTATTTTTAGGTATATGCGTGGTATAGTGCATATGTGGTTAGACCAATTGGTTTTGGTAGTCTTATATAGTTACACTCATATTTCAGTTTCTCATCTTTTTACACTAAAGTGGTTATTGGTTAGATGAAAAATTTATTGTGCTCTATGGTATAAAATACTCCTAATATTTTAAGTTTTAACCATTAGCTAATCAAGATTTAACGATTAAAAAATTCAAAATATCTAATACTCTATAGTACTGATTAGAATATCACTTTGTAAGAAAAACTCCTGGTGTAATACCGTAAATTGAATGCTATGCTATTACTGATGAAAAGAATACTGGCAATCTAATTGTAACAATGTCAGCGTGTCTATATAATGCAAGGACCATAAGAATCTGTTTTAAATTTGAATATTAGTCTTTTTGATAGAGAAATACTGAACTGAAGTGATATTAGGTAATGAAAAGACTCGTGATCCCGTGATGACTGTGTGCTCCATCTCTTTTTACATCATGTGATGTTGAAGGTAATAATGTGTGAGGATTATTGATTAAAGCAAAAAAAGATAGGATGCAAAAAGTTGGGTTAACTGGATTTTACACCACAAGGTTTGGAGGTCATTTTATAAAAATAAGCTACGAGGTTTTAATTTTAGCATATTACATTATGTTGTTTTTGAATTACACCAATTTAACCTTTCTATCAAATCTCTATCAAATCACCATCTAATTAGTTACTAAATGACATGGAATAGTATGGTCCCGCATTGGAAACACACCTTGATATTCAATTTCACTGTTTGTACTTTATTTTAACTTTTATGAAAGGGGTGTGCTATTCACATCTCTTTTTTCTTCATACACACTCTTTTTATTTGCGGTTATTCGATTGACTGAATTAAAGAATATCAAACGGCAGCAATTAACAAGAGATGTGTGAGAAGTAAAACCTTTTATGAAATTGACGGAGATGTTACATTGGTGTCATTAAAAAATCACATGGTGTAATATGCGAAAATTGAAACCTCGTGGCTCATTTGCAAATAATTCCAAAACCTTGTAGTCCAAAATGTAGTTAACCCAAAATAGTAAATGTGATAATATACGTCATTTATTAGTACTACAATTTAGTAAGGGAAGCGTTATTGGCACTTCAAAAATCTCATTCGACACTCCTCACAAATGTATTTTTCTTTCCTAATATAGAAAGTTTGAAATGTAGAATGAGATTTTTGAAGTACTAATAATAATTTCCTTTAGTAATACTCTTCTTTATTTTGTAAGTGACGGTCTTAAGTTTGACTTATGTAGATAACGAGTTCGATATCAAATTACTGTAGCTAACCAAGTGTGTTTAAGTCTTTCAACCCAGAGAGGGGAGGATCGGAAGGATTATGGGTGTAATAGATTATCCCTTCAAAGAAGAGTATATGCCTCGCACGTGCCTATTGACCAAGAGCTAATCTCGCATAATCTTTTTAATCATATGTTGTTGGATGAACTTGTGTTTATCCGATTTGAAGGGCTGTGGGATCTCCAAGTCACCTTTGTAAAGATATTAAGATAAGGAGGGAGGGAAGTGTGTTCTTTCAGTCATTATCTTGATGAGGATCTTTCTGCATGCAGTACTCGACTTCAGCGCTCAGAAGAGCGTGGACAATGCGCTTGGCCCAGTTGCCCACTTTTCACCCAGTTTATAATTAAATTCTCAAAATTCAAACTATTTTTGAAATGCTTCTCAGAATTCGTATTTTACACTCACTATTTTGAGAAACATTTTAATTACCATTTTACCCTTTGAGAAAATGCAAGAAAAGTAAATATGGACGGCCAGTTTTATTTTAAAACTTCTACCATTACTGTTGATTTTGGTTATGATTGCATGCACGACCACGGAAATTTTGTATTGTTGATTTTGCATATAATAAATATTATACAATTTATATATAAGATATTTCACCCCTAATATTATTAAAAATTTATAATAAAATTTTTAAACTTAGTAATAAGTAATTGAGAACAATATTGTTAATATCGGTGGTAGACCATGATGAGCTTAAAAGTCGATTATGTATCCTCTTTTATATTTACTTCTTTTTTTTGTATTTTTTGTTTTCGTAAAGCGATATTCTAGTTTGAAAATTTTAAATTAAAATCACAAAGCAATATGTAAGCAGGCATTGAACTTAACACAAACATTAAATCCTCCAAGCCATTACTTTGACTCAAACCTAAACTTGCAATTTACAAATAAAGAGAAGATACCAGTAATTTATAGTACTAGTTAGTGTCGGCTTTGAGGGGACCCAGAGGAGCCATTTCGCAGGGCCACAATTGAAGAGGCTCCCCAAAGTTTTTGCTCCCAATAGATATATAATATAATATATAATTTTATCCAATAAACGAAAAAAATCTTTAATTATCATAATTCATAATCCTACTCTTAAGAAGATCGCCAAACAAAGAGAAATTTTATTTGAACCCATATAACTTCTTTTTACACTCAACTTACTTTCTACATCCATATTATTTTTAATTAAAGAATCAATCTCTCTTCAAACCTAAATTTACTACCTAAACTACCCTCACAAACCCATTTCAATATGTAAATTCATCTTTATCCCCATTTAGAAAATAAAATCCCAAATGAGTGAATGAAGAATTAAGATTTTGTCATGGCAACCAATTGTTGTAGATGGATTGATCAGCACCATCAAGGCTGCTAGGCAAGTAGTTGAACCGGTATTTTTGGAATTTTGAATCTTGTGAAATTATGTGGACACCTTAGTGAAACTAAATTTCAATAGAATTTCTCATCACATTTTCTTGAAGGATGGTGGCAATAATTTTTATTTGAGTGATATATGCTGCTTTTACATGCTTACACAGTTAAATTGGAAGCAGAATTGAACCAATTACGAGAAGAGAACTCACACTTTAAACATGTGTTGGTAATGACATGGAAAACATTTCGATGTGTTGAAAGCTTCCCGACTCTTCTTGTTTCTTGTGGTAATATGGCTTGTAATTATTACTCTTACTGATCGGGTTAACATGAAGATAGAGAGGAAACCTTATTAGGTGATGGTAGGGTTTTATGACAGCTCTTAGGATTTTAGTCAGAATGAACGTAGGATAAAAATTGACACACCCCGACCTAGAAAGTCCACTTGGACCCTGAATCGAGCTGTGCTGGCCGACACCTGGAAGGTGACGAAGCCATAAAATGTGATAGAGTGTAGAAAAAGTGAATAAATTTGAATCTAAAAGTGTCAAAGTACCAGAGTGCGCTATGAGTGGGAGCGAACCCATATCACACGCGATGTCAGAGCATAGGTAAGGTACAGTAGTGCGGGTAAGAATCATACCCTCAGAATTATCCATCAATACTAAGATTCGCCACATATTCTTGTCGATACAAACTCAGCAGCTAAAACCTGGAGGGCACCAAACAGAAGGTGTGAGTAAGCAATAAAACCAAACTTCCCAAAGTTATTACCTCTCTAAAAGTAATGCCCCTAATTGTAAAACCCGTATCGTTTTCCATAAGACAGTACAACATATATACATATATCCAAACCATACTAAAAAATGACCAAAACCACGGTTTGCCATCAACTCCACCATACATTAATAAGTAGGCCAAATGAATTAAATCAATACAAAGTGATATATCAGTCAGAGTCATCAAAAATGACGTGTACAACTTATCCATATCTCATCAATCATGGCTAGCATATAAGTCGGAGTCACCTATAGTGACCTGTACGACTTATCCATATCTCATCAATCATGGCTAGCATATAAGTCGGAGTCACCTATATAAGTCGGAGTCACCTATAGTGACCTATACGACTTATCCATATCTCATTAATCCTGGCTA